GACTGTGTTCCCAAAACCTGGGGGTGTGGGGAGGGAGGGGCAAGCCCCAAAGCTGCCTTAGAGTGGGAGAATTTCTGGGGTTCTTTTGGATGCAATAAAAATGCTGTAAATTAAAAAAATCGAGGCCTTCTTGGCTTTCTCCCTGAACCACTGCAGCGTATACACAAATACATGTATTTATACACACAAATGTGTATTTATATATGTAAATATACATGTATATATACACAGATATATATTTATAAATTTATGGCTCCATGTGTGTATGTATTTGTATATATGGAGCCATAAACACTTGTAGCCTGGATTAAGACTCGCAGGGATCCCAGTCACTGCAGACCTGGGTATTTTTAAGGTTTGGGCATCTTTGTTGGTTCTTTCCAGCTCTTTCCAGTCATGGATGCAGCTGGAGGAAAGGCAGCTGTGCCACCAGGTTTTAGGGTCCCTGCTTACCCCTCTTAGTCCAATTTCAGTGCCAAGGTGATGCTGAGCAGGTTGAGCTGCTCAGCAAAGGCTTAAAAGCACAATTGATATCAGGACATTTTTCTTTTTTGAGGGAAAGGGAAGAGTGAAAAATGAAGTTAATCAGATGCAAATGAGGGGTTCCAGCGCCCCTCCTGCCCTCACAGTGGAGGGAAAGGAGCCTGTGGGAGGTGAGGGGGGAAGTCTGGGCTCCTGCCCGGATGGAGGGTGATAGAACAGAATGGGAAGCACAAAAGCAGGAGCACACGCTCCGTCTGTCCCAGCTCCCCTTTCATCCGCTGCCAGGGGCGGGAGGCGGCAGAAGCTCAAAGGTGGAGGGTGGAAAGAAAAACAACATTTTTAAATAGCGAGCGCTGCTTTTTCTTCAGCCCCAGTTCCCAAGGGCTCCCTCATTCTTTCTGTCTCAACCATGCACATTTTGTGTTTACTTTTTTGTTTATTTTTTTTTCTCAGGCAGAAATACCTGCCTGAATGTTTTGTCCCTCGCTGAGTGTTTCAGTGTTTGGATAATTTGCTGCTGATGCAGTCAGACAGTTGATCCAGTGATTTCAAGAGGCTGTCGATGCTATTTTTTTGCTCTTATTTTTCTTTTTGACAGAGCACATCCTTTCTATCCTCACATCACCATTTATTCTGCCTTACTAAAGCAATTACCTGCAGGCTCCTTTGCTTTCAGCCAGGCTGCAAATCCATCCCCTTCTCCTGTCCCAGCACCAACCCTTGGAAGTCCTGCCTATTAGCCCTGTCTTAATTAGGCAGAGTTTTTAATTGCTTAGGAAATCTCAGCCTCTTTAATCTTGGTAATGAAGGCTGGAGCTTTGCACCACCTGGTTTGAGGGGCTCAAAGGCTTCTTTCCACTTTCCCACCATCCTAACAAGCGATTTCCAAGGCAGGGATAAAGCAATTGCCTGGGAAAAAAAAAATGCCTGGGAGATGGGAATATGTTCTTTTCCCCAGGCTGGGAAGGCAGAAACCCAGATCCCTTTCCTGGGTAGTAAGTTAAACCTGACTCTGAATGCCTTGGCTCTACCCGGCTTTTCTGCTCTGAGAGAAAAGATTGGGAATTCAGAAAGCATTCAGCCAGAGACAAAGCAAACAAAGGGTTACATATCATATATATAGATATAGAATAATTATAGAGTGTGTATTACACATTTTAAATGCTATGTATAATGTATATAGCACACATTTTATAATATAGACTGTGTGCCTAATATAGATTTTATATATTATATATAACATAATGATACAATAAAATACACCTTCTAGAGTTATTCTATATAGTGTATAATATAAATTCTTTATCATAACAACCAGAAGCAACCTGGGCTAGTGGAAGGTGACCCTGCCCGTGGCAGGGGATTGGAACTAGATGAGGTTTAAGATCCTTTCCAACACAAACCATTCTGTGATTCTAGGATATAAAATATGTATTCCATACTGTATAGAATATAAATATATATTAAAGAGGCAGCTATTAGTAGGGTGGGGTTAACGAGCTGACCTCCAGCCTCATTGGGGTATATTCCCTGCCAGGAGCAGCATTTCATCCCAGGGAGGCCCCAGCAAGGGTGGTCTGTGGACTAAAATATTTACAAAAGAAGGAACTCAAATAGTGGTTTTACACTAAAAAAGCAAGAGCTCGTAGATTGATTTTATTGATTTTCACAAAAACCTGTTTTTCTGCAGGTTTCTGACCCTTGCTTAACTGCTGTATACTATTTCTCCACTCTTTCCATCTTGTTCAGGGCCTGGAGAGTGGGAATACGGCCAAGGGGATCTGAGGTTATTTTGGGGCAGAGAATTAAATATTTAAATCCCAGCCAGCAGTCCTGAGGGATCGATTGCAGAGCAGGAAGTGTGGATCCGTGGCCGGGTTTCTGCTGTGTCAGTCTTCATCCTGGGTCTGCATCTTGTGTCCACGGGTACAAAGGGCACCTCTACAGCTCTGGGTGCCATCACACTTTTTTTGGGCTTTGCTTTACCTGCAATCCCTCTTTCCCAAACCTGCAGAGAAAATGGGAAAGAGCTGCAGCCATATGAGCCAGTGCTTTAGGGGTGGGATGTCCAGGCTGCCTGAGGATGCAGAGCTGGGCTCTGTGTTGCAGCCAGACACCCCCTGAAATCACCTGGTGTTGTGCCACTGCATCACTGTTTGTACACACAGGCTGGGGTGGGTCGGGAAAACTCTTAATATCCCATAAAAAACCCCAACTCATCCCTTATTCTGCCTGTGGAAAATGTTCTTTGTGGCACTGAGGATGGTCTTTGTGGCAACAGCCCTGGTGGAGCTTGGAAGAGGTGAGATGTGGGGCAGGAGAGATTTCAAAAGGGGTCCAGAGCTGCCTTTGTAAATAGTGCTAGTGGGTCTTTGACCTGTGACAGAGAAAAGGAGATATATTGTGTGTGTGTGTGTGTGTGTACATATATATATATATATATATATATATAGCCATAAGAGCCTTGCCCACATGCACCAGGCTGGATCACATTTTTTTCCCAGAAAACCCAGGGTGCTGCATCCTCATTGACTCCTCTCTCCCTTCATAATTAAAAAAAAATTTATATATATATGTATATACACACATATATATAAAATGTTAACCTGTAACCTGTAACCACTGGCAGGGCTGAATGCTATTTGCTATCCATACAGGCTGTCTTTTAAATCCCTATTAAAATATATTTGAATATAAAACACTTAAGGCCACCTGTGCTGAATGAGGGCAAATTGTCCTCAGGTAGGACCTGCTTTTAGCCCCTCCCTGGGAGTAAAACCCCAACCTGGGGCACCTGTAGCCCCTCAGTTTCCACTTGTACTTCCCTCCACGCTGCTCAGGAAGCCTGGAGCACAGAGCAAAGGAGGGACTCTTTCTCCTGCAAGCCAGCATACCCTGGATCATCATCAAAGAGGATTTTTTGGCCAGTTTGGGAGCCCAGCTCTGGCGTCGTAAAAGCAGTGAGTGATTTTATGGCTTTTTTTTTTTTCTTCCCTTTCTTTCTGGCTGCAGCGTGGGGGGAACGTGGCAACAGGGCTGTTTGTAGCTGTGCTACTGGCTAATGAGTTTATATTTTAAATGGATAGGCTTGTAGTTATTAATGCTTCTAATTTGCCTTCCCATCCCTGAGCGTTAGGGGTATGCTGGTATGTCCCTTCCAGGGTTTTATCTCCTAGTAAAGGTCATGAATGAGGTTACAATTAACAAAATTATACATATATATATATATAATGAGACATGATTAACCTGTAACCATTGGCAGGGCTGAATGGTATTTGCTGTCCATACAGGGATAAAACCTGTCCTCTAAATCCCTTTTAAAATATATCTGAATATAAAACACTTCTTAAAAAAACAGAGGAAAACTTTTTTGGAGCTAAATAACCCCCCTGTGACTCCATCTGTGGGAAGTTCAAGGTCAAAAGCTGCCCCAGAAGTGGGGGTGTCCCTGAATTCCTTTCCCCTGTGAGCACATGGGTACAGATGTGTTTTCTCACTGCTCAGCTTTTGCCTTTGGTGTAGCTTGTTTAGTGTGAGGAGTATTTTAGTGGAGGGTTGCACCACGTGTATCCTTGGATCAGCTGCCTCCTTCCAGAGAAAGCAAAGCAGGGTAGTAACATATAAAATAAATAAATACGTAAATTCATTGTGTGGGGAGTGAAAAAGTGGCAAGAAACCTCATCCCAACCACATCATCCCTCTGTGAGATCCCCCCCCCGAATAAATCAGCCTGTGGGATCCCCTCCATTTTAAGGTTATGAAGTTCTTTTATTCCAAAATGTGCAAAAATACAGCTGGTTTTGGCCAGATTTTTCCTTTCTGCATCTTTGCATCAGACAGGGGCCCTGGCAAAGGAACCTGTCTTTGGGCTTAACAGAGGTAAAAGGAACAGAGCTTCTCTTACCTCAGCCAGGGGTTTTATTCCTCCTCCTCTTATGGGTGAGCAGAAATCCTTGGAAGCTTAACTTCACGTGCCTTTATGTTTTTTCATCCATTGAAAAAGGAAAATGCTCTGAGGAGCCAATATTCCATTGGCACGTGGGGCTGCAAGGGGAAACCTGCCACAGCCCCAGCTAAATCATCACAGCTATCAGGGGCTTCAGGGCTGTGGGGTTTTTTTTTCTAAAAATCCCCTTTATTTCTATTTTTCCACCAAGCTGGGGCAGCTCTGCTTAATATAAAGTGCCAGCTGTACCCAAGTCCCACAGACATCAGCTTTTCAAGGACCAGCTCAGGAGCTGCTGCCTTTAATTTTGGTGAAAATCAAGAGTGTTTGGGGGTAGGTGGGGGGATATAATTTCTGTTTACAGCAGCAGGGAGGGTGCATGGGAAGAGGCATGTGCTGGCACTGGGCCACTGTGCATAGCTCTGGACATAACAGCTCTTAAAATAATATTAATAATAATAATAATTTCCATGTTTTCCTTTCTGTGATGTCCCTCTCGGGCAGAACCCCCTGACGAAACTGCTGGACCTCTGCAAAGGGAGCCCATCTGTGTTTCATTTTACAGCTGAAGAATAGTAATTAAGATGCTTTTGCAGAGCCAGGGCTTGAAGAACTAAAAATAAAAGCCATATAGGCACAATACCGGAGATCTGAGCATCATAAACTTTCCTTTCCCCCTGTTTTCCCCCTCCCAGCTCCATTGGACCCCTGACTGTGGCCAAGCTTCCCATTGTTTTGGGGAGCAGAGACGGGAACAAATCATGGGATGGTGCAGAGAAGGGGGATTTTGGGCTAAATCCATAGGAGCCATGCAGTGCCAACCTGTGTAGAGGGTGGTGGCAAGGGGAGTTTTTCCAAAGCTCCAAAAATTAGAGGCATTGTGCAAAGCATCAGGCTAGGCTCTCTTCTTGTGACAAAGTGTGTACAAACCAAGGTCCCCAGGCCTGGAATGACTTTCTTCCTTTATTTCTCACTTTTCATCCATGGATATTGCAGGGAGGGAAAAGCAAAAAGCAGCTGTTTTTTACCCCTCCACCACCTCAGGGTGCTTCTGGCCCCAGGCAAATGAAAAATTAATTTTGCCCAGCTTGAGCTGAAAGCAGAGATGGGGCTCAATGAGATTCACTCGAAAGCACTCGCTGGCTGATGGGGGGGACATGCTGGAAGGATAACCATCAGCTGAGGGGATGAGCAAGGCCCTGGGGGACTGGGAAATGCTCAGCAGTTTGATTTAAGAGACCAAAAAAAAAAAAGATTTGGGGTTTACATGGCAGTAAGCTTCATTTTAGTAGGAAGGTGATAAAAAATTAACAAGGTGGTCAACATGTGGAGAGGGAAAGGAGCATCTGGGGGGGTGCTGGGTGAGGTTAACCTAGTTTGTGTTGTGTATGTGTGGGAAAAGCACGAAGGGAAGGGCTGGGGATGCCAGGGTAGCAGGGATAACCTCCCACCAGGCAGCCTTGTGGCACGGGGGTGTTTGGGCAGGGCCAGGCTGTGCCGAGCCCCGGAGCCGAAGAGATGCTGGTGGGATGTGGTCTGAGCCGTGGCACAGAGAGGCTTTAACACCCCCTTGGATCTACCAAGGATATGGTGCATGTGTTTCTTTTGGATGCCAGAGCCACGAGGTGGCTTTAGGGCTCTGTGCAGGCCCTGTGTTTTTGGGAAGGAGCAGTTCCATGAGGAGCCCCTCACCCCCACGTCTGGGCTGGCTGGGCTCAGTTAAACCGAGGTGCTGCTGACCTGAGTTCAACAGCTGCTGCAGCTGGGCTGTGTGTTGTGTTGCAGCTGGGCTGTGTGTTGTGTTACAGCTGGAAAACAAGGACTTTTGGGGGTTATTTTTTGCTTTCCCACCGGCGGGACCCGGCCACGCCGGCAGAGCTGTCTCGCAAGCCTTGCAGCGCGGTTCCTAGAAGGAGAGCAACTTTTTCCCTCCTCTTTTCCAAGCCTCTGCTGCTGACAGTAGGGGCTGGAAAGCGTCCAGAGCTGTCGGTATAAATTTCACTGACCTTGTTTCACCATCCCTTAACTCGCAGTTCAGTGTCTCCCATCAGCCGGGACCGGCGTCGACTTCCACTTTCTGGCTCATTTATCCCTTTTTTCTTTTTTTCGGTTTTACGGTTCGGTTTCCTGAGCTTGTCTGTTCATCCCTGGGTGGGCAGGGGAGTGAGGGGGGACTCCCAGCCCCTAAAAAACCTCCCAGCAAGGTTGCCAAGGCAAACATCTTGCAGGAATTTGGAGATGCAGCTGTAGCTCAGTGCTCTGCTTGGGAAGAGATGCTCGGAGGCGCAGCGTGATGTGGTGAGGTGGGATGAGGGAAAAGATGCTTCTCCTTGGGTTGGGCTGAGTGCAGGGCTCTGATCCCAGAAAACGCTGCCTAGGTGCCATCAGGAGATGGACTTTGGTAAGATTTGAGCTCCACCCCTGTGATGGTGCTGGATGAGCACCTGTATGGGAGATTGTTGCTCTCCGGAGGGTTCTTGCTGTCTTTCTTGCATTTTCCACAACCTCCTGTGATAACTTGATGACATATTTGCTGTCCAGATGATTCCAGGGGTTTGACTGTAGGGGAATGGTCTCATGCTTCATGCTGGGCTCACTGAGGAAGCAGAGGAAGACAGCTTTTGGAGATGTGGGTGAGAGGGTAGGAAGGAAAATTCATTGTTGTTTCCTATCCTGGCTGGACCAGCTGCTTTGGACACTCAGCTCTCCCTTTTTGGACTTAAAAAAGAGGATTGGGAGCTTGGGCCCTCCCAAAAATCCACAGCATCATGTGCTTCTTGCTCCCTAGGTGCTAAATCCGTATGAAAATATTAATTTTCCAGCTCCAGGGAAGTCTCACCTTAAAACATGGTGCTGCTGCCACAGCATGTTTGGGGCCTCGTGGGAGAACTTTGCCAGTTGCTGCCATTGTCACTTGGCTTTGTGATAGCATCCAGAATCTTTGGAATGTTGGCAGGAGGCAGGATATATGAGGATTAATATTTTCCCTGGGTGAAGATTGTGGCTCTGAGTTTGTCCAAGGGACCTGAGGGGTGTGCAAGGCAAAAGAACGTGGCTCTGCTTGTGCACTTCTGGATGAAAAGCCCAAAAGCTTTTATGTTGTATCCCTGGACCTTTCTGAAGGATTAGGACAGCTAACTGGATTTTATTCCAGGTGCACCATGGGCTCTGCATCACAGCTAGGGAAAGCACCAGCCTGAATAGGGAGAGGTCAGAGATTGGAGAAGTCTCAAGGGACACAGCAGCTATCTGTGCACAGGGAAAGAGTTGTAGGAAAGCCAGGAAAATCCAAGTAAACAGTACAAAACCTCCTTGGTGTAAGCAGCTGCAAGAAATATTCAGATTAACCAGGAGGA